TAACTAAAAAAGAAACTAGGAGGAAAACCTCAGAAGTTATGTTACTTGTGTAACAAATTGACAAACTATAGATGAAGAAAGCAAAAGTTAATATTTGATAGATCCTATCTTATGGATCTTGTCAGAAGTCTCATGAATTTATCACTTCTAAGGATGTAGCATGTGGATAAATGAACCAAAATCCATCCAGAGAAGGCAATCATATGGCAATTTCCATCATGAATACTATTTTCCAATATTAATGTAGAGCTCTCCTTTCCACATAAGACTGTCATTTTCCTGTGAAGTAAAAAAGCCAATTCAAGGAGTTGCACAAACACTATATGGCACTCGTGCTGGTTCACTGGAAACACAGTCTTGCCAGGTGAGATGACACCAGCAGCCATGCTGAGCTAGATATCCTCCAATATTAAGGGAGAAAGAAAAGATACAACTGTAGAATACTAATAGTTGTATGTTGCAATTTTGAACCCCTTTCCGCTTTCCAGAACCACCGGAAGAAAATAGTGCAGTCTAATAGTAAATGGTTTCCTTTAGGAAAACTCAAAAACACTCATGGTTGTATGTTGCAATTTTGAACCCCTTTCTGCTTTCCAGAACCACCAGAAGAAAATAGTAAAGTCTAATAGTAAATGGTTTCCTTTAGGAAAACTCAAAAATACTCATGGTTGGAAGTTCACCTACAAGAAGAAATTGTTGCAGTCCATTCACTGAACATACTATACATTATAAAACCAAAAACTCGGTTTCAACTATTCCATCCAGTACAGAAAATGTCCATTGCCCAATGTTGGTCCCTGCAGAAAGCGGACAATGTTGGTCCCAGTATTTTACTATCGCACCAAGGAATGGTCTCTGCAGAAAAAGTTTCAGGATATAATTTGCAGAGATACCATAAGATAAACCATACCAAGTACGGGATGTTTATTTTCTGTATGAGGAAAGAGATAGTGATGCTTAGTGAATCTCAAGAAAAGCACAAGCGTGAGATTGAGCAAAAAATGCCACAGGTTAGGTCCAAATCCAGTCCACCTCTCCCACAAATCATCGTCAGGATCAGCATTAGGTAATGGCCTTCTACACTTGGTAAATTCAATAACTTTGTTCAAGTTCTTGTCACATACATACGTACTCATAAACATGCAACATAGAATTCTACTGAACATAAAAGGAAAGAGAAATGGCAAAAGACAAGAAAGACAATTTCCTTGAGAGTAGGGGAAGAAGAAATTAAAAACCTCAAGTAGCTTTTTTTTTTCTTTGATAAATAACCTCAACTAGATTTCGAACTTATAAAGAAGATATATGTGCTTTTGGCTTCATAGTACAATCTACAAATGCAAATATTTGATGGAGTGAAAACTTATGGTGATACACACTACGATCGACCCTATGCTGTAAGTCCCTCCAGTTTTGTATCTTCACTGATCCGTCGCCACGTCTAGAAATCCTTTGAACCATGTTGTCACTTCTCCCACTAGGTAAATCATCACTGTCTTCTCTTCCCTTACTTTAATAGCTCTTGCCCTTTTGTCTTCATCACTTCTCCCACTAGGTGAACCACTTGAACCTCCTTTAGTCCTTGATGCAGCCTGGCGGATCGAGAGATAGAATATTCTTATCTATGTTCATCAAACATTTTTCATTAGAGTGCTTCAACCAAACTGCTAGAATAGCTCTTAATAGAAAACTAGAGAAAGAGATTGATAGAACATCAAAACAGAAAAAAACATCTTTCGTCCATGATAACTCCACTTTTCCGGTTGTTGGTCTTGACATGGTCCGATCCATAATGATTCCTCTACGTTTACACATGATAGTTACTATTTTTTAATTATGCAAAAAAATACATTTTCAGAAATAAACAATTAAAAAAATTTCACCTGGCTCATATGAGATCCACTAGAGATGGTTTGGCTATACACATTTCTGGGTACCTCTACCTACACAAACAATTTCCAATTATAAGGCAATATGATTTTACAAAATATTAAAAAAGAAATCCACACACAACTTACTTGTATGGGAAGATTGTTTACGAAAGAGCTAGAATGGTTATACATGGGCCAATGTGGTGCCTGCATAGGTGATGGCATATTGTGAATTTGTTGCCAATTCCAAAGATAAGGAATGGTGCTTCGTGGACCACTTCCATCTGTAATAAATTGAATATTTTCTCCAAAAAAAAAGTGTGAGTGTAAAGCGGCGTCAGGGGGCTCCCACTCCGATAGGTTCAGATCTGTGAATATTAGAAAGCGAATGAGAATAAACCAAAAAAAAAAAAAAGAAATGAGAAAAACTTACATTACAGACTACTTACCTCCTGCCGGTATGGTCGTCGGCCGGCAGAACTCGACCGGTGGGTGGATGGAGAAGAATGAGGGCGCCAAAGGTTTCAGGGTTAGGGTTTTAGGCGCGCATGCTTCATTAACGGGGATGCTGAAAACGACGTCAACCTCCCCTTGCACGCGTCTCGCGCGCGTGTTTCATGACACGCGTCGAGTTCCAGTTGTGTAGGACGTATTTGGAGGGCAGATGCGAACCCTACTTCCACAGCCTCACCTCACGAACAGCTTTTGCAGCTTTTGGGTTCAGCTAAATTATCCTTTGATTGGCATACGTGCTCAGTTTATTCCACCTGTTCTTTATGATCTCGGTTTCGAGAATATGAGTTTTTCTATATATTATATTATTGATTTATTACGTGAGGCTATATCCTATATCATAGGATTTGTTTACATTATCATAGGATGAATCTTCTTAATATTCTTATCATCCCGTCTATTAAGTTGTTAATTAAACTTCTGTTATAGATAGCAAATTAATAACCCCAAATGGATAGCCGGACAAAATTTAAGAAATAGGTTCATTGAAGGCAGATATAAAATGACGAGGAAATGGAGGCAAAGGCTGAGGTGGGTGGTTGGCTTTGATGTGATGACTCAACTTCCAACCGACACTCTTTCTTTTTCATTTGCGGTAAAAAGTTGTTTTTTTCAACGACCCCGATGATTGATATACCAGGTACAATGCTACACACCAACAACTCGAATGTAATCGTTACTCGTCGTCTGGCCCACATGCAAAGCTTGGAGACATTTACCCTCGTTTCATCCAGTGATCCATCTTACTTCTATTTGCCGAGTTCAAATTTGCCCCCCACAGAATTCGTCCTAAAAGCGTCCAAAAGCACATCTCAACCGTATATTGAAAATATTTTTCAATAACAATACAAAAGATGTTCTCAATGCACGTATACATATGGGGCATTTTTGAACCACATTCTGTGCGGGGCAATATGAGCTCAAGTCCGACTTTTGGCTATTTTAGCTGATAAGGGCATCTTTTGAACCTTAATATTAATAAAAATAATCATCTTAATATAATTTTTAAAATAGATTAGCTTTTTTTAAAATATATAAAAAATAACAAAAATACTGTTCATCTTCTTCTTCCTCCAAATCTCTGAATAAATCTCTCTTAAACGTAGATTATTACTTTTTTGTTCATCATTGTAAAAAGAAATACTGAATATCCATAAGTTCCGATTCACACTTTCACATGCATCGTTTGCCATACTATTCCCCCTCTGATCGGAAAACTCGAAACAGTTATGAACTAACGACAAAATGTCTCTACTACAAGACTATACAGCTACAACTCTAAATATAATTGCACAAGAACAAGATTACAAGAAGAAAAATGCTTCTATTTTTTCGAGTTTCTTCAAAATTTTCCGATTAATTTTTCTTACAGGAAAAAGTAATCCAAACCCACCACACCAAGCTCAGCCATGAATCAAACAAGAAAGAGTACAGAAAGAGTGAGGATTGCATAGTAAGAATGGTTCTAGTCTTCTAGATCAGTCTATTAAACTGTAGTTTGAAATCTGAACTTCTATTTTCTGTGTGGCTATATTGACTGATTTTATTCTGGTATATCTATACTACTTATAAAAGTGCGAATGAGGAGGCATTGGCTTCTGTGAATTTTCTTTACTGAAATACCCCTCCTCTTGAATTTAGTTCATCGCTATTGAAATGACAGAAAATGTAATTAAAAGAATATCATTAAAGACATTCAATTACCTCTCATTAAGTCTCACATTTAAGCCATTAAATAAATCACATTCACTCATTAAATCTAACATTTATAATTTTTTTATCATCATTAAATTCCACTAATAAATCCATACACAATAATTATTAATAGAATGAAATTTTATATTTTTAAAATAAATATAGAAATGAAATCATATTTTTCATCTAGGTGGTGGGTAAGTAGTTCACCCATTTGGGTCAATGGATAATTTCATGATTTCATAAATAAATAATATAAATTTAGAAATATAATTAAATACTTTTGTTTACCATCATTAAATTCCACTAATAAATKCATGCACAATAATTATTAATAGTATGAAATTTTATATTTTAAAATAAACATAGAAATGAAATCATATTTTTCATCTAAGTCGTGGGTAAGTACTTCAACCATTTGGGTCAAATGGATAATTTTATGATGTCATAAATAAATAATACAAATTTATAAATATAAAAAACACAAAAATATAGCAAAAAAAAAGAAATTTTGAAAAAAAATTGGACACTATTCTATTATTATATATTTGTCATATTAAAAAATAACTATGATAGAATAGACATAATTTTATGAATGATGGACATCAAATATACAATTTAAAACCGATGGGAAATTAAACCATCTTCTTATCTAGGGGGTGGGTTAATGGTTCAACCCTTTAGGTCAAATTGGTTAACTCATTATGTATAATTTTTTTAAATAGAATAATACAAAAAATATGAAACAATTTTGGGCACATCTATAATATTATATACTAATAATACAAACAAAAAATGTATGTTAAATAATAATTATTTTATCAATGATATAAATGAAATGCAAAATTTAAAACCAGTTTGAAAATGAAACCATTTCCATATCTAGATGGTAGGTAGGTCAATGATCTAACATTCTGGGTCAAATGGATCAATCTATGATGTCATAACTAAGTAACGAATATTAAACACACACACACACACACACACACATATTGATGTTGCTTGATCCTAGGTGGTGCTAGAACCGTGGTTGCAGTCAAATAATCTTTGCTAGCTGGGCGGAGCCGAGGTGGAAGGATGAAGTCGCGCAACGAGATCTCGAATCAAGAAAGAAGTTGAGGCCCGAGGAGTTGTCCCTGAGTAGGCACTTCGATGCTCAAGTCAGTAGAAAGCAGGTGGGGGGTCGGGCTGAGCAATAAGAGCAGTGCTAGTCTAAGCAGAGTAACGGTATGGGAGTTAAGAGATGGATCGTTTACCTTGATCGAGAGACACCTTTTATAGCCGGAGATCCGTGTCCTGGTCAAATGAGTCTTCCGGGGTTGTTGGAATGAGGTTAACTGTCGAGGTCTTCGGGATAATACCTAATCCCCAGCGGAGTTGTCCTCATCCTCTCTCCTGTCTTGGTTGTGCTTATCCTCATGACGTGGTGCCGCCGTAGCTGAAGGGATAAGGTGGGGCCATGGAGGTGATGCGATGATGACATAATCGCAGAGCCGATCTGGGTTGTGGAGGTGACGTGGCGCTGATGTGGCCAAGGAAATAGGGCAACTGCTTGGCGTTCAGAGCCAGCTCAACCATAACCCAGACATATAAACTCAAAGAGAAAATATAAGCTTTATATAAAGCATTTTGGTACAATTCTATTGTTATATATTCACCATATTAAACAAATATAAACATGAAAATAAGAATTACTTTTATCAATAATGAAAATGGAATACAATATTTTCCATCCAAGTGGTGAGTTAGTGGTTAAACTATCCATGTCAAATGGATGTTATTATTAAATAATAAAATACATAAAATTCTAGAAAATGTAGAAATTTGTTGATAATTTTGGGTACATTCTATAATATTATATATTCATCATATAAAAAGTGTGATTGAAGAGAATTATTTTCATTAATGATAGAAATGGGATAAAAAATAAAGAGATTTAATGTCTAACACATGACCCAACTAACCATGTCAAATGATTCAATAATTTAATTAGCTAGGTTATCATAGGCAAGTGGTTTGGTAGGGATGCAAATAAATCAGATCAAATGTGAATTAAGGTATATTCAAATCTGATTTGATCAAAAGATTCGATTGAATCTCATAAATATTGATTCAAATCCGAATCTGATCAAGATGTTAAATATTCGAATCTGATATGATCCAATTTATTTTTTTTTAAAAGTAATAAATTGTTAAAAGAAAAACAAAAATATAAGTATTTTTTCAACTATTTCCATGCGCGCCGAGCCGGGGCATTAACACTCTATATATAAAAGGAGTGTTGGTTGACCAAGTTTACACACGAAGAGTGGATGAGTTTGGGATGGTCAACCTAGTATACGTTCAATAAACTCTTCCGACAACCTACTCCCGATTGCAGGCTTCATCTCTAATTGACTCATCAGAGTCCAGGTGTTCCATATTGCAGTCTTCATCAAAGTTGCCCTTAGGTGAAGAATATGGTTTACCCGATGGAATGGTGGCGAAGATGATTTCTTTAAAATAAAGAAAAAGAAAAAACTTTAATATAGACATTTAGAAAATTTTAAATAGTCATATGAGAATTTTTTTGAAATCAATTAATGGAACACTAACGGATATTCGTCTAATGGCCAAAGTGAGGGGTCTTTGTCGTAAATTAAAGTTCAAGGGTATATGACCCCTTAGTACAGGGGTCCGTGTAATTTACCTTCTTCCACCGTTAGATCCATAGTATCCCCCTCCTTAACCGTTGGAATTCATGTGTCTCACAATTGTCATTGCAGGCTAAAATTTTTGAAAGCCCATTGTCATTGATTGGGATCAATTTCAATTCATGGAGACCTTCATACATTTGGCATCACAGTGAGATCAACTATTGCAGCCTTTTTAATATTTTATATCCATAAAAACTATTTGTATAAAGTTGCAGCTTTTAAAATTTATAATTATTTTTATAAAAATAGATAGAATGCAAGAGTGTCATTTTAATTTATTTGTATGCACTAGTCTGTTTTTAAAATTTGTAATTGTTTGTAGAATAAAATTGGTTGCATACATTAATAATTTATTATTTTTGAATTAAGATTCTTGGACGCTTGCTAAAATTGAAGTGCTGTTTGTATTTTGGATTATTTTTTTTTATTTCATTTGAATTATTATATATATTATTTATTATATCATCATGGTTTGACCTTCGGTTTGTTCCCAATCAAATCCCTGACCTGTGAACTTTTCTCTTTTTTTTGTGAACATCTCCCAAGGGAAAATGAAAGTTTTGACCCTACATTTATATGAATAAATTTACTGAAAAAATAA